GTGGGCTGTTCGCGGCGATGGCGGCGCGAGGATCGGCCATGCTAGATCGCCGGAGACATATCCTCCGCTGCGGATTGCGTGCCGCCCGCACCCTCAGGGGACCGCCCGTCTTTCCACCAGGTAGATTTACACTTCGCCGACTTCCGATCTCATCGTGGTCCTCCTTTAACTGTTTGCATACTCTTCACACAAGCGTCCTGTGGCATCAGTGATTTAAAAGGCCTTGTTAGCTATGTTGTCAAAAAGAGCAAAAACGCGAAAATAAGATGGATTCCATTCAGCGGACCCCTGATTATGAGCCCGTAGCACCACCAGCGCGCATTTCCCTTTAATAACATCGTCCATAGAATAGTTTAGCAGATATGGGAAGCAAGTTTGAGCTCTAAGTCTCAAAATGACTGCAGCGATGTGCACCTCATTTCAAATGGCCAGACCAACTTGTTGACCATTCAGATAATTGAATCATTCCCATTGCATGCATGAGATGACCATACAACTTCGTAACTCTTCAACAGAATACACTTTCCCGCCCCCTTCAATTATGAGAACCGAATAATTTTCCCATGGACCACAAATGTTCCGCACCAGAAATCAGATTTTCAGTTCAACCCGATGATGGAAGGCTAAGCAAAAGCCCTCATTTTCTTGATAAATATGTGATGCCAGCTTGATCCTTACTCCCTCATCGACGGTGGTGCAGTAAATCATCTCAATCACTCAATCATCATGCTTTACCCTACCTCCCATTCCTGAAATGTGCGGAACGATTCGAATAAATTAATCAAACTGCCAGGCTAACATGGATACAACGCATGCCACTTAAACGCTTCGGCTGTCAGCGAACAGAAAGCGAATACGCCAAACAGCGGTGACAGATCCCTAGCTGGGTTACTGCCGCATCCAACAAACATCCGCCAATTTCTTGGTCAATTTTTGCTCCGTTGAATTTTTCGTACGATTAATGTGTAATATCACCTAAATTGGAAACGAAGAAAAACTATACCCAGTTTTTTCCTAAAAAGTAATGCCAGCTTTTCTGCTACAATTTGATACAAGCAGCCGTTAACAGATCGAAAAACAAAAACGATAAAAAACGCAATACATTAGAAAAGCTAGAAGTAGAGTGGATTGGACTTTTTACTGGAATGGCTTTCTTACTTGCTCCCCATTATAAATGGTGGGAGGATGAGGACGAAAATAATACTAGTGTATCATCCAGTAAAGGAGCATGGCGACAGGTTTGAAACCATGAATATCATTTTCTTCATAGTAAACGTTCAGAACTAAGACTTGAATGGG